CCTTGTTATGTGACTTTATGTTGACTTTGTTTTATGTATAACGTATTACACAAATAATTAATGAGCAATCTTGATCAAAAAATAGAGCTAATTCAAAACTACATCAATTGCGCAGACATGACCATGCTTGAAGAACAACATGAAAAGCTTGTTTGACCAAAAAAGAGAGAAGCCCATAAGAATAAAATGATAAGCTTGCTTGATAGGGAGGGGGGAAAAGAGCTTCCAAAAGGAAGTTATAAGCTAGAGAAAAAGGAGCTAGTTCAGATTTCGAGAAAAGTGATTAAATTGTTTTCTTCTATTATTCTTCTTCTTTATGCTTATTGGCATTATATTTTGGGCTAAGATACAATGCTTCAAGCAATCTCTTGTCATGGTTGAGTGGTTCTTACAACCAAGAAATAAAAACAATGTTTTGATATATACTAAAGGTACTAAAGCTCGAATTTTCTAATGGGAGACAACTCAATGTCAAATCAATCATGATTAAAATACTAGTATAATATAATAAAAATATAGATAAATATCTATACTTAATGATATAAAATAGATATTTAAATAAAAAATGTAGTATGTTTCCAACTGAACTCTATCTAAAACTAACAAACATACAATAAGGATTTAAAATTTATGAACTACCAAGACATCCAACTAAAAAGCCCAGTACATTAATTAACAGAAAACATGCAATACAATCTATAAAAGTATAAGTACACAAAAGACATACAATGGTCTCCAACATAGACTAACAACAACAACCTAATGGCCCATATTCTAGAAAGAAGGGATTATTAAAAAAAATACTCTATCCGATTTAAAATATAACATAAACTTTATTTATTTATGTTTATTAAGAAATTTATTAAAATTGATTTAAAACAATAAATATGTAAGACATTTTTTTTTCAAATATGCCTTTATTAAAAAAAGAATATATAAAAGATGTAATAAATGAATCAAAAAGAAAAGAGAATATATGAGGGGCAAAATTGAAAATAAAACTCGTTAAATGCTTTGACAAGAGTGAATATTATCTTATAAAAAAGCCAAACTTCTCCAACAAAATTTCTTATATTTTGAAACAGAGGGAATCGTTATAAATAAGGATTTAAAATCTGTCAAATTATTTTAAAAAGTCTTGGTATTTTTGTCCTTGGAAAAAGTGTCATGACCAAAATGCCCCTTAAAATTGATAGCTGAAATTATGAGGGACAATCGTTTTTTGCTTTTGTTCCTTGCATGACTTATAATTTCTTTTAAGAAAAGTTACATAATTTCATGCAAGGAAACCTAAAATTGATTATGAATTGGGAAGTGATATTTACAAATTTCTTTTACGCGACTTGTATTTTTCCAAAGTCAGCCAGGCTAATGTTGTCGAATCTCACATCAAATCCTAAGGTCTCAATCCATCTCTTTTTCTCCTATTTAAATTCAAATACTCATTTATTATTTTCGCTAGCAAAGCATTGATAATGAATCTAACTCAAATTGAAACCCATCATCACTACTCTTCAACGGTCCAGTCTCTCCTCAAACGGTGATTTTTTTTTTTCCTTTGGCTAGACTAAGAGCTATATTTTTCATTCCACATAACTTCTCGTATGAACTATCGATATTGCACTTGGAGATTTGCAAATTTTATTAAGGAAATTCCATTCATTGGGCAGGTGTTCATCAAGGATTTTCATTTCGAAATCGACAAAAGAAAATCTGAATGTGAAGTAGTAGCTATCTCTTTCCCAGGTTAGTACCTGCATCTTAGGGCATTAATAATTTTGTTTGGCGAGGAAATAGATGAATTAGGGAAAGCACAATTCAGAATTCAAGACTGAGAAATTAATAAAACTCACTCTAGATTCTCTTTTTTGCCTTATGGTTCGCTGTAGTGATCTTAGTTCTGATCCAATTTTCTGCATCTTGTTGCTTCGATGGGGTTCGTCTTTTAACAAGGTTACAAGAAACAGCCCCTTACTTTACACAATTATCAATATAAATCGAACATCTCAATTTGGGCCTCTGACTATTAAGTCTGGGAATAAAAGCAACACCAAGCCCATAGAAGAAACAAATTACTGAATAGTACTCATTGTATCGTTACCATTCATAAAGGAACAACAAAAGTCACAAGCTTGATCCTAAAGCAGGTGGCCTGCTATTAGCACTTAACTATAGTCCAGTAAACAAAATACATGTTAAGTCATCAAGTCTCTAATCATAGAGAGTATGCCAAAAAAAAAAAGAGTCATAGGTGGCAATATACATCATCACATATAAAAAGAAAGGCAGTAAAAAAGCTATATAAGTTTAGGCCTCTAAATTCTTTCCTGGTAGGGTGACCCTAGAACTAACTAGTTCCACAAGGCTCATTTAATTCCATTATAACAACATAAATCTAAGTGTATGCTAATATACCTTTTATAGTTTCCAAGCAACAAAACTACTCATAAACAACATATTAGTAAGTAATGATCAAATGCTACAAATCAAGCAACTCATGCACAACAACACCAATCACAAATAATCTACACAAACACACAATTATCACATATTAGTTAACAACTAATAAAGTGACTAACCAAGAGAATTGGGGACTCAAAATCCAAACTTAACCCAAAACTCTTCTCACTTCAGATTGACCAAACTAAAACTCAACACATCATCTCAAAATGTCCAACAACTCAAGAGAAACCTCAATTGACCTCCAACCACACCAATTTATCATAAGCCTAAATCTCTCAATCTAGTGTTCATCCTCAAAAATACCCAAAAAATCAATTCAAATCAATATCCTAAACCAATTAAACATAAATTCTAACTCATATTAACATAACCCAATCCTCAAAACTCATTTTGAATCACCACATTATCATTAACCATATAGACCTTCCGAAAATCATAAACCCTAGGTTCAAGATCCTCTAAACTCCTAATTTAAGAAAACTAAACCAATTAAACACCCAGCTAGCCCATATAAGTCATTTAAAGTCAAACTAATCAGTCAAAACCTCAGCCCATTGGAAACCGTTGAAGAACCCTAGGATTCAACCATTTAAATCTTCAAAAATCCAAGAGAAAAGGGTAGAGAAGATGTTAGGATCAGTTACTTGAGGTATTGAATCATTAGAAACAGTTCCCCAAACTCAAAGATTGAAACCCTAGTAGAAAAAAGCTTGCTCCCTCTCTAAAAACTCTGATTTTCAAAACTGAAACGTGCCCTAGGTATTTATAAAATCTCACATCTGCCGCGATGGCTTACACAGAGGGGGAACTCACTGCCTCTATCTGACACGTTGTGGTGCTTATCGCAATTTGTTGTGACATATTGCACAGAAGAGTTCCTCTCATATTCTAGCCTCCAATCCAAACCTAATTCTCCCAAACTCAACCAGACCTAAAAGACATAAGATTAGACCACTTAATTACTCCAATCCAAGCTTAGAGAACCAATAAATGTAACATACTAATTTTTTTAATTTTAAAAATAATAATGGAAATTTTTTTTGGAAAAAATTAGTTAATTTAGAAAAAGTAAAAAAAAATTATTATTTAAAGTTAAAAAAAACCCACCTTTTACGCTGACAGTGGAAAAGGTGGAGTTACTAAAGGGGATGGAAAAAGGTGGGAGAGAGTGGTTTTTGAAAGGAAAAAAAAAAAGAGAGGAGGGGGTGAAAGGATGAAGAAAAATGAGGAGGGAAATTGAATGTGAGGGTATTAAATACCCTTATAACCTAGTTTTTTCTTAGGTAGAGAGGGGGAAAAAAGAGCAAGAGGCAGAAAAAAAAACGAGCGAGAGGTAGAGAGAAAGAGAGAGCGAGAGAACAGCATGGAAGAGTTGTGATGTGTGTTTTCAACCATTTTGAAGGATAAGACAAGTGTCAAACACACATGCAACACACACATGCAATCTTGATCTTTTCCCCTCTTCTCTCTCGTTACTCCCGAGTTCATTCTGTTGTTTGTCATATTGCTCTTTTTTTTTTTGACCGGATGTCATATTGCTCTTTAGTAAGGGGTGTTTGCGTAATTTTAGGGGGTGCTGCTTCCTAAATTACAGAGAGATTGCAGAATATCTCTTAAGGACAATGTCCTTATGACTTGACTCAAACCATTACGTCATTTTTAGTGCTGCCACCAACATTAACTAGCTGAAATCGGAAGTTTGAGACTTAGAAATAGTATGATTAATGATTGAAGGTCATATCTCTAAACCTTTTTGAGTACTTTAGAAATATGAGAGCTTTCAGTGGTCAAATGATCTTATTTTTGAGTAATTCTTTTTGTATTGAAAAATAGACATCTCAAACTTTTTAAAGAGATCTAGTTTGTAACTTTTGGAATCCATAAATTTAGTTATAAATTTTTTATGTCAAACCTTTTGTTTGTATTACTTGCTAAACGTTCACTACAACGAACAACAGAGTGTTGACTGTGTTGTTTGTTAGATGTTTGTTATAGCAAATACATTGAAATGATCTTTTTTATTATGTATCTAGTATTCTGATTTTATTGTTTTGGTGCACCCAACACCACAATATTATTTTTTTATGTTACATCTAATACTCTAATTTTTAGGGTGCTGAATGCATCAAAAATAATATCAGGATGTTAAATGTACCAAAAATAAAATCAATTATTGGATGCACCATAACAAAAAAAAATCAGAGTTATGTATGCAGCTTTAACCATTAACTAATTGTCAATAATTCATCTCAAAATATGATAGCGTTACTCATTTTGAGCCTGATGATTCATGAAAACGAATGAGATTTACTTTAATTAATAAATATATATTTAAAGTCAGGTTTTGGCCGAAAATTTAGAACTTGAGAGTCTCGGAATCACGTTTCCCTCGATAATTTAAAGAGGCGCCAAAAGTTTCCCCCCAAAACCCTGCGCGCGAGAATATTCAAAGTGAAACGGCAAAATGAGCTCGCGTTCCTACCAATGCATCACCTCATCTAAGTTGTTCATTTCGTTCGATCAACGATTCACTTCTTCAAAGTGCAGATCTTCTTCACCGTTCTGCCTAGGCAATTTCAGGAAAAATGGATATGTCAGAGATAGCCAAGAAGCTCGGACTATCAGATTCCAAACTCGCTGTGCGAAAAGCGTTGGAACTCCGTCGCCTATGCGACGTTCAGTTCAATTCCTCTGTCATTGGAGTTGTAAGCTCAATCCCATTGAATCTCTGGTTTTTCGGTCATGCATTCCTGATTCTAACTATTCAGCTTGTTAATTTTTATCTGTAGGGGGAAGTTTGTAAAGCTATAATTTGCTTGGAAATTGCCGCCGCAAGGTGCTTTTGCTGTTGCTTAGTGTTTTTGGCCAAATTTTCGCTGCTTAGTTGAGTTCCTTCAATGGTTTCTTTTGATTCTATTATTTAGCTATTTTTGTTCGTGCAGGATGGGACTCTTGTTCGATCGATCGAGTGCCGTCAGGCTAAGTGGGATGTCAGAAAAGGCATATATCAGATCGTACAATTTGTTGCACAATGGTCTTGGAGTCAAGTGGGTTTTATCCCTATTCTCTTGATATTTTGCTTCTGTTTAATTATCAATTGTATTGTTTGTCCTATATCTGAATGGACGTTTTACTGAATTGGTCAATCATTTGGTGCCACAGGACAAAGCTTGATGTCAGAGAATTAGCTATTCAATTTGGATGTGTCAGAATTATTTCATATGTTCGAGATGGTTTGAATCAGTATGTTCAAATTTTCCTCTTGCTCTTTTTCCATTTCCTGTGAATGGTGTTAAACCTGCAAGATGTTTGACAAAATGTTTCTTAGGGATTAGAATTGTCTGTGTTTCTGTTTGATAGTGCGTGTATGGATGAGAGAATTAGAGATGTCTTATTGTGTTTGTATTCTTTTCAGTTACAAGGAACGTTTTCTGTCATCATTGCCTACTTCTCGACGTGCAAGTGCTGACTTCACTCGTCCTGTATTCACTGCTGTTGCTTTTTATTTATGTGCGAAGAAACATAAGGTACCTATATTTCCCATACCCTAAGATAGGATAAGAAATGTTCCTCTGTGGCTCACCCAGTTATTAAATGTCTATTTTGCAGCTCAAAGTAGACAAGCTTAAATTAATAGAACAATGTGGTACATCAGAATCCGAATTTTCCAGTGTAATTGCAATAAACTTTGGCATCTTGCATTAATATGATGGTTCCAGTTTGATGTTAGCTCTCTTAAACTGATTGAGCGTCTGCTGCAGGTTTCTACTTCCATGAAGGACTTATGCCATGACATTTTTGGAGTTGCCAAAGAAAAGAAGGATCCAAGAGAAGTGAAAACAAATCGAGGTATGTTCCCACTGTGCCTTTAATTTTAGCACATCAATTGAACGCCAAATGGCAGTTGAAGTAATCTATTTTTTGCTCCTTCCCCCCATTAAAAGAACTGATTTTTTTTTTTTTGGTTCAGACTTATTGGATGCTTTGCCAGAAAAAAGGAGAACTGAAGATGGTGGTTATTTGTCTGATGAAGGACCAAATGTACTAATCACAACCATCCTTATCCACTATGTTTAGCACTGTGATGATTGGAATGTGTAGTTACTCTGCTGAGCTCCATTTATCATCAATTCAAGATAGACTTAATTTTTTCTCTCGAAGTTGATCTATAACAGTAGTGGCATGAACAAAAAAGACCAATTGAGATGACTAACTCAAGTAGGATTATTATGAACCTACAGTATTGCCATACAGTTATAGGTTCAGTATGGTTAACATTAACCATTCATGTTCTGCTGCAGGTTTTCGTTAATTTTGATATAGAGGACTATGATTATTTATTTTCTCTAGTTTCTACATGATAAACCAACTTTTCTAGTCTGTATGGTTATACTTTATATATGTAATTGCAGTGTCTCATGGAAAGGCTTTCATCCTATTAGGCAAAGGCTTCATTTTTAACTGATTTGTCATACTAGGTAATATGTGACAATTGTGTATCGTGGACATTGAATATGCAAATATGAAATGAGGCTCTGATCCGTCTTTGTATCGTTTTAAAAAGTGAGGACAGTGTGTTACGGTCAAATGTAACACATTCATTCTCAGCCACTTTGTCAATCTGTAACATTTCAGCTATTTACCATGTAATACTGTCATATATACTTGCACACCACTTTTAGAATTGGTTTTCTCGGCTGTGAAAACTTTTATTGAATTCGGCAATTTCTTGTATTCTTCAGCTTTCAAGTTATAAAAAACGCAAACAAATGGAAAAGCATGAATATGAGAAGTGGAAGTCTTCAGTGCTTGCATCCAAGGATCAAAACAAAGCAGAAGGTAAAGACGTATTTTTGTGCTACGTATATGTACCAATTTAGTTGTAGGTTTCCAGATGTTAACGCTTAGCTTTGCAGAACTCTTGATAATTTGTATCATAGGTTGTGCGGTAAAGTGGGTGTGAAGTCAGTGGATCAGTTTGTTAGCATATTTTTAGGAGTTGTTAACTTATTTTCTGTAACAAATAATAAAGAGATATTATTTGAAAGTATCCCAATTAGGATTGGTTCCTTATTGAGTTAATGTTGGTTAGAATCTAGTCGGTTATTTTCTGATTTATTTACTATTATTTTTGTATTTGTTTTTATATTATAAACAAGGTAAAAATTAGAGATATTTTAAGTTTGGGATATTCTCTTTGGGTTTTATTAGTTGATTGAGTTTAAAGCCCTTTCTCATCTTCTCCTGAAGACTTTCTCTCTCTTTATTAATGATTTCATATTTTAATACTTTCTCTCTCTCTCTCTCTCTGCCTATGTTGGATCCTATCAACTCTTCAACAATGTTTCTAAGCTTCCTATGGCTTTTTAACTTGCTTTATCTTGTTCTCTTATTCTACATTATTGATATTGGAATGACTAATCAAGCTTTCTTCCTTGCACTAGTTGCTCGCAAGCGATGCAGGCAGACTCGTCTCAATTTTGCCAAGGAAGTTCCCAACACTGACAAGGTGGAGGCTGTGTTAGATGCCTTGGATTCATTTTCATAGAAAATGAGCTTGATGAGATTTGATGCGTCATTGAATGCCAAGAGATTGATGAAGATGGAATTTCTGGGCAAAAGAAGGATATGAATAGTTTGATGGACATCCTACTTCACCTTCATCTTCAAGTTATTGTTTGACATTAAAAAGGCATTAATTCATAAAAACAATTCTGTACAGACTGCCTTCCTTTCAAAAGGTTTTGGCTGCAAAATGTCGCTGGTACCATATGAAGGCAACTATGTGAATATCCAATTTTTGTTACTTTTTTGGCCAATTTTTTTAACTATATTACACAGCACATTACTCTGATTCTACTTTCAACTCAATGCCTGTCTACAATCTAAATATCTGTATGTTATATTAGAACAGTACCACTAGGTAAAATTAATGGAGTTTTTTTTGTCAGTTTTAGTTTTAGCCGATCACTTTAATCTTTATCATGCAGAAATAGGGATACATGTAAATAAATAGAAAGATAGTATGCTTCAAATGGGTACAGGCTGTCTTCATTTTTCTATTCCTAGTGTCTTCGTGTGAACACAAAATAAGCTTATCTGTTTTATCCAAAGGCAAATAAATGAAGCTTAGCAGAAGACAAGCTGCAGTTACCGTCTGTCTTTTGTCTTTTGTTTTTTTCGCCCCACGAGAAAAGCAGTAGTAGTTCCTCAGAATGCCATAAAAGGTTCTGGTTTGATGGATATGACTTTTTCCAGCTTAATTACTATGGCATTGATGTTAATATATTAGAATGCCATTGGTTTGAAAGTATTTTTTTGAATGCTACGACATATTTAGAGTTGGTTTGAAATAACTTTTCAATTATAATTTACGTAATATGAGGTAAGCATGTGAAAAAAATTGTTTTAATTTACATGAAACGTGATTATAAGTGATTTTTAACGTCATGCCAAATAATGTTTTAACTGTTATTCTCCTTTATTTTTTAAAACCTTCAGAAAAAAGTGTCAATTATGAGGGATATCTTTGACAGTTAAGGTGCGAATTAATCTGTGAAGGATTTTCTTATGCATATCGTATATCATAAAGTTTCTTTTGGTATAAAACTAGACATGAAAGTTTTAAAATAGTACAAAAATGTCATGATAGTTGATGTTGACAATTTAACAGACACATTAGCTAAAAAAATAGTGAAAAAGTACACATGAAGATTACTTACTAATATAAAACCATAAAATATTACTTTCAGTCTCAATTATAAAATCTCATTTATAGACTATAAATGAAATTTTATAGTTTGAATTGGAGCTAATATTATGAAGCACCCACTACCTTCTGCTTCGTAATGGTATGACTGACTTGTGAATGAATTTGCACATTACTTCGAATTCTCTATGCTCTCTTGTCTCTGGTTCCCCTATTCTCGATCTCTATCCTTCTACTCTCTCTATACCCATCAGTTTATCGTGTAAATGAAGGTAGGGTTACGGGTCTCATGACTCAAAAAAAGAAACTGGTTATGGACTGAAAAAACAAGGAGGTACTTGTTACATGAATTCTTTACCTCACACATTGTATTATAGTATCTCTGATTTTTAATACAAGAGCTATTTTGATTTTTAATTTGGTCCTAAATATCAGATCCAAATCGACTTTATCTCTCATATTTATCTATTTTTCTAAAATAATTATTGTAGTAGTTGCCAGTATTAAATATTTTATTAAATAATAGTTCTAGCTAATATATTTGACTAGCAAGGGTATTTTAGGGAAGACAACACCCGTTTATTACAAATAACTAACTCAATGAATTTTCTTTATCTATTCAAATTAGTCAACTAGTTCATATATTAAGGACAAAAAGTAGTAATTCTTTATTTTAGAAAGTTTAATTGCTACATGGTTCTTATTATAACATCTTCTAATGGTAATTTTTGCTAAGTCATCAACTAAAATCATTAATTAGTATTTTTCAATTTTTTCTTTTCTTTTTTTATTAAAAAACTTTGATTTCATGAACATATTAAATAAATTTTATGTAGAATAAATCTAGTATGACGCGTCAGAAATAAATGATAACATGATCCTCGTTTAGAAATAAAGTAAGAGCCACAAAATATATCTAACTGGTTATTAGAAAACTTAAGAATGAACACCAAACATACGAATTCTATCAAAATAGGGGCCATATTGGAAATATATAAATTGAGGCCAGTCTCTTCACCATTTTCATCAGTGCGAAATACCTTCATTTTTCCCATGCAAATATTAATACATCAAAGTAGCGACCCTTCATGAGTTAGAAACTAATTTTAGACTAAATACACATTTGGTTCTTTAACTTTATATAATGTTTCAATTTAGTCCTTTAACTTTAAAAAATATAGGGTTAAAATGTAATTTTAACAACAAAGTTTATCCTAAGGGGCACTAGGCATCATAAAGTTTATTTGGGTACAAAAATATATATAAAGTTGTCAAAAGAAGGCATTAGGCACCACGCTGTTAACGTTCTTTAGTTTACTGTTAGAAGGGCCTACGAAGTCAGTTTTAACGTGTTTTTTTAACAACAAAAATTACATCAAAAGATACTAGGCACCATAGAGTTTACTTGGTGCAAAAATATATATGAACTTTCTAAAAGGGAAAAAATAACAAAACTCTTCAACTCCTATAAACGTCTATTAATTTTATTCTTGTGAGTCCGACCAAATGCCATATTTTCTCTCCATCAATTTTCACTTCTGCGTCGATCCACCTTTCTCTCATCATAGTCAACATGCACACTCTCTTTATCATGTCGTTTTTTTAGCCTCCAAACCTTTTATATGTATTTGTGCAAAATAACATCTTTCTCTTCTAAGATATGAGGTTTATGGTTTGTACCCAAGTACCACCTCCAATTCTTAATATAGGATGCAATAAGCTAATTTGAGAAGATTAAAAAAATTAAATAAATTACTTTAAAGTATTATATTTATCATTTTTTTTCAAATAATTTACTTGGTTTATAAACTAATATATAATCTAATGATGCATATAAATATTTTGGAAAGATTATATACTACATGCTATATTTCAGTAATTGTTTCATCTCTTTAATTTTTTTTTTCCAAAATTTTCCATTATACCAAGGAGAAGAGTAAGTACAAATGAGTAGAGAGAAAACATGATATTTAGTGGGACCAAAACAAAAAAATAATGGACGTTTACAGGAGTTGGAGAATTTAGTTATTTTTTTTCTTTTTAGAAAGTCCATGTGTATTTTTGTATCCAAGTAAACTTTATGGTGCCTAGTATCTCTTGATGTAAACTTTGTTATTAAAAATGTACTTTAAAACGGACTTCCTGGGCCCTTCTAACAGTAAACTAACGGACATTAACAGTGTGATGCCAAATGCCCCTTTTTGAGAACTTCATATATATTTTTGCACCTAAATAAATTTTATGATGTTCAGTGTCCTTTGAGGTAAAATTTGTTGTTAAAATTGTATTTTAAACCAAAAATATATTTTTAGTCATTTAATCATAAAATCATTTTAAATAATTAATTTTTGTAATAATTATGGTTGTTTTGAAAATTAAATTTAATATATTAGCATTGGAGAATATTTTATCAATATTTAAGATTATGATTTATCATTTTTTTTTAACGGTTTCAGAGTTCAAGAACAAAAAATATACTTTTTAAAGACATAAGGAAACAAATTGAAATCTTGTTAAAAATTAAATAATTAAAAGTATACTTTAGTCTTAATTTTATACGTGTTATTGCTAAATCTATTCTACTGCTTTTTTCTTGATCTGTTTCAAAATGTTATACATGCAATAAAATGAAGTCCATTGCACACATTCACAATGCCTGAGGTCGGTCCTTTCAACAAACTCTCTCTCTCTCTCTCTTTTGTTACTTTTTTCCAACTTCAACAATCTCTCATGAAAGTAAAAACTTTTAATTTGATCCTAAATATAGGAAAAAAACCCAAATGAAGATATTATCTCCAGTCTTTTATATAAGAACTAGTTTAATTTTTAATTTGATTTTAAATATAATACCCAATACATTTTGTTTGCAATATTTATTTGTTTTGCCCTCAAGTAATTTCTATAGTGGTTGCATATATTAAGGAGTTACTATCTTTTTGTAATTCAAATAGAAATAACTAATAAAATTATTTTAGACAAGACAAGATATATTTATTACAAATAACTAACCTAACTAATTTCTTTAATCTCCTCAAATTAGTTAACTAGATTTTACATTAAGAACTGGAAGTAGTATTTACCATGATAATACATTTGTACAAACCTTTATGTCCCTGCACACGGAACATAGCCACAGGCGGTTTAAGAAAATCTAATCCTTAAAAATATAATTTCATATTGTTTGGCTGTTTTAGCTTTAACGAGGTTGGATCTAACGGTTTGATTCTAGAATTTCCACTTTCTCTAGCAACTATCAGACATCCTGAAGCCTTACGTGAAGAACGTGACAATGCAAACCAACAAGTGAAAACTGCACCCTCACTTGTCATTTTTTGCACCCTAACTTGTCATCATATGTATCTTGCATATCTTGTCATTTGTTTGAATTCATACTTTGGAAGTTAAGTGTTTCAATTTGAATACCAAATATGTAATTTATGTTCGATATTAAATAGAGCTGGTAATATGCGGGTCCAACCTGCCAAAAATGATGGGTTAGGGACTTACCAGTAAATGAGCCTTTTTAACCCACACCGCCAGGCCCGTAACTCGCCGCAGGTTAGCCCACCAACCCATAGGCTAACCCGCATTTATTATTTTTTTAAAATTTTTAAAAATTTTTATAATTATATTATTATATATTATATCCTATCTAAAGAAATTTTTTTTAAAAAAAACACCTATATAATTTATTTGGTGCTTTCAATCAAATATTTTAAGAAAAATTAAAAATTTTATTATATTTTTTTAATATTGTATAAGAAAAAAATATTAAAAAATAAAAAAATTATAAAAATAATAAATAAGTGTCAGTGGATTGGTGAGCTAACCTACCAACCCATCTTGAGGGGTTAGGGTTGGATGAAAACCAACTCGCCTTTAAACGAGCTTTTTGAACCTGATCCATATGGATTCAACCTGCCACGGGCCAACTCGCAACCCGCGGATTGGCCCGTATTACCAATCCTATTAAGTTATGCATCGTCATATAATATCAATATGAATATCAATGTGCTATGTCCTTTGCAATTTAAATTGGGAAAATTCCAAAAAAGACCCTTGGAATATAGAGAATTTCAGATTGGGTTCTAGCATTGTGTAAATGACAGAAAGGGTCAATAACTCAATCTGTCATTTATAAAATCAAGAAGAATTGATAACTTTGCCCTTATTTGTATTCATTCACTACAATGATTTAGGGAATCACTATAAAGGTTTAGGCATTACCTAGATTCGTGTAGAGAATAACTACTTACTTTTTCGAAGTCAGGTGTCTTGTTATTAACTACAACTAATCATGTAATTACTAGAACAATGTAAGCATTACCTAGATTCGTTTAGAGAATAGCTACTCATTTTTTCATAGTCACCGTTATTAATCACAACTAATCATGTAATCACTAGAACAGTGTAAGCGTTACCTAGATTTGTTTAGAGAATAATTACTCACTTTTGCCTAGCCATGACAAAATTGTCAATTCCTCTTAATTTTACAAATGACAGATTGGGTCATTGACCCTTTTTGTCATTTGCATAATTCCAGGACTCAATTAGGAATTTCCTATATTCCAAGAGTTTTTTCTGAAATTTTCCCATTTAAATTTTCAATTTAGATTATATATACATACCAAAATTTCAAACTTGTACAGTTTAGTTAGCCAATTTACATTAACTAAGTCCCTTAGAGTAAACCAGAGATTTCCTTCAATATTTAGCTATGAAACTTGTTTTTCTCCATATAACAATCTCATGTATATGATTTTCAATCTTTATCTCTCAGCTGTATTTACTTTTCCTTATTATTACTTGTTGAAGAATTTTTGCTAAAGCTTTGTTAGTGTTCCTTACCTTAACCTACATTGACATAAATTTCAGCATCACAACTTTATACAAATCCAATGACTATGGAGTAAAAAGATGGAACTACGTGTAACTTTTGTTACACCCATAACCCTTCACTGTTTATAAGTTCTGAGTAATTAATATAACGCATTGTATTATTCATAGTGTTCAACCAATCAAATAAGATAACATCTTCATGGGTTTCTAAAATAATACTCTTTCTTTGTTTTTTTTTTTTTGCTATTTTAATTTTAAAATATACCATTTTTTTTTTAATGTTCGAGAACTTTTCCCCCCCCCCCAAAATAACGAGATTATGGTGGAAAATTTAATTCTTTTTTTTTCCTATTTCTCCTTCAAATTTTAGTATTTTCTCAAAAAGAGTAGGATAAACTTGGCTTGTTATTTATCAAGAAAATCAAAGAAATGATTATCTGTATCAAATTTAGGTAATCATATTTACAGTCATATATTAAAGTTTCTTTGGTTTGAAGAAAACTTTATTATATAAACTTATGTTAGCCTAATCAGTGTTTATAATTAAAATTATAGATGTTAAATTCTCATTGTCAAAAGTTATAACATTTTATTTTTCTCACATATTATTATAATATTTAGAATTATAACAACCATGTACTATTACAAGCTCAAATCTAATTACATTTATAAGATACTTGTTCAATTGTTACAAATGTTATGTCAAAATTTGTAACAAGTAAGACTCTAAATTAATAACAATTGTTTTATCGTATTTTGATTTATCTTTTTTAATTGAATTGTGTAATGAGGGCAGTTTTTGTATATTAGACTTACATAATTTATTTACTTTTTTTATACTTGATAAATACGTAAAAGGTAGAATATTGGGATATATTATGGGGTACGCAATGTACTAAAGATGTATGATCATTATGCTTCAATTGAGTTTTTCTATTCCACATCATAGCGGTGAAAAAAAGAAAGAAAGAAATTTAGATGAAAAGACTTACGGCATGGCAATACATTTACACAGAGTTGGAAAAGAATACATTTAACTCTCTTTATAAAAACTAGACCCCAGCACACCCAATGAAGCTGTCGGCAATTTAAGAAAATCCAATCCTTGAAATAATTTGATTGATGAAATAGAGCGGAAGGTGATAATTTCTAGCAAAAATCCCCAAAAAAATATCTTTAAAATTTTAAAATCCCAAATCAAAAATTTCAAATGTAGTCAGTTATTATTAAAATATAATAAATAAGATTTATTTGAAAATTTGAAATTCAAAAGTATATTTTTGAAAATTTTCCTAATTTCTAACTCTGAGTATCTAGTAATTACAATTAATTTGTCAAGATTCAAAGTATTACCTTGATTAGTTTTAGCATCAAGAAACATGACATCTGTCTTTCATATGTAGAATTAGGTTGTAAAAATCTAACATGGTATATTATCTTTGTGTTTACATTGTTCTTTTCGGTTTTATTACTCCCGATCCTTAATATAAGAGCTAATTGACCAATAGCGTCATAATCTTTAAACCAACAGTGCCATGCTATTCTCATTTTTTTATTGAATGTGGTTTAGATCAATTTCAGCTGATAGACAAGTTTTCTACATTGTTTTTAAACACGTTTTATACACTGAAAAGTTAAATATCATGTGAAAAAATATACCTTTATTTTATTTCTAAATATAATAATTGGTACATATGTTAGCTGTTAAAAATTCAATATGACAAATTGGATAAATAGTATTACATTTTCAAAGACGTTTTTTCATTAGTTCATTTTTAACCTATAAACGTATTTGTCACTTTCCTTGGTAAATTAAAGGACAATTGAACATGATCAAATTTTGACAGACCGTGAAAAGATGTCGGGATAACCAAAATTGTCAAAATTTCTAAAACAGTAAACAGAGCATCAACGCTCAAAAACAGGAATGAATGTATAAATGCTCGAAGGCTAAGTGTTTCTTAGCTTATCCTGTGAGATCACAAAATCTACAATGGTACAAGGTTAAAATCACAATCAAGACTTTCTTTGTAACCTACGCTAACGTCAATTAACTCGTGAGTTTACAAATAAACATTTTGCAACAGTTAATACTATTTACATTTACAAACCAAGCTTCTTTGGTCTCAAAAAAGTTGATGAACCCTTGCGCAAACCAGGCATGGAGACTTGCTGTTGATTCTTGGCCTTCTTTTGCTTCTCCTTCTCTTTCCTTTCTCTCTCAGCCTTAACCTGGGCTTTCTTTAAATTCTCCATCTCCTCTTCCATCGCTGTTTTTTCTTCTTTCTGTCTCTTTTTGTGCTCCAATAATGACGTATCAGACTCCTTTACAGAAAAGAACATGGGTCCCAACTCAGCCAACCACTGGGGTTCCACAGCTGTAGCACATTGCATGTACTCTTTGGTGGTCAAGACTAACTCGTGATAGACCACATACTCCGGCGTACAACCCATACCAAAGAGGGCACTGCTAGGATGCAGGTGACACGGCATTCCATTCCGGCAGTTCACATACTCCCCTACTCCCTTTAATCTTGCTGCATTATGAAAGTAGGCTGAACAGACTGCTTTTCTAACGATATCGGTATCTGGCCAAGATGATGTTAGGGGAATCTTTAAAGTCTTGAGAATATCAAGCAGCTGAGATCTCACCTCTCTAGCCTTTCTTAGACCTTTAACATGCAAAAAATGATCATTGCACCAATCACCCCTGTAATCATGTTGCTTCCATTGCTGATAAACATTGTACAAGGTTAAATGATCAGATTCTGGCACAAAGAATCTTTCTCGAGCTGCATCACTCTCCTCTGCCCTGTCCTTGGGTCTGAAGAAGACGGATGGAACTGAAAGCATTGACACAATCGTTAATACTTCCTCCACACATCCTAACTGTTCACCCATCAAAAGCATCTTAGCAAGGGGCGGGTCCAATGGAAACTCAACCATTTTCCATCCGAGTTCAGTTAAGCTCCCCACATTATTGAGTGCGCCCAGCACCCATAACTGATACATTGAGTTGAGAATGTTATCTTGAGGAGGTGGATCCATGAAGTCAAAATCAAGTAAGTTGTCAACCTTGAGAGATTTGAGCAACAAGACCACATTGCCCAGGTTAGTCCTTTGGATCTCTGGTACAGGGCTAGGCAACATCTCATTCAGGTAAGCATTCTCTGTATACAGCCGATAACAGGTACCAGGGCCAGTTCTACCAGCTCGTCCGGCACGCTGGTCAGCAGCAGCTCGGCTGACAGGGAATACTTGAAGAGCATCCATACCCATCCGAGGGTTATACACCTTCATTTTACCATAGCCTGTGTCGATGACATAAAAAATACCATCCACAGTCAAGGATGTCTCGGCAATATTAGTGGCCACAATGCACTTACGAGCCCCGTCTTCTGCTCTCTGGAATATCTTTGCTTGCAAGTCTGCAGGCAGTTGAGAGTATATGGGAAGAATCAAGAGTTTAGGAACTGCTCTGCTTGAAGATGATATCATCTGTTCCATTCTCTCAGCGAGTGCATAACAGGCTGCCTCAATCTCATCTTGGCCAGTCATGAAGATAAGGATGTCACCTGGTGGGCTAGTTATATGAATAGTCATGGCCTGCTTTACTGCAGCTTCAACATAGTCTTCACATGGAGTTTTACTCCATAATATATTAACAGGAAATGTTCTCCCAGGAATGTGGAATATTGGCACACTGCAAGGATACCCTAAATCAGCTAAACTGTCTAAGTTGATCCAAAAGAAACATGAAAAAGTTGAGATTCAAATTTACCTTCCAAAGAAATTTGAAAATTTTTGAGCATTTAGAGTTGCAGACGTGACTATTAGCTTGAAATCAAGACGGTGGGCAACCACTTTCTTCAATATTCCAAAAAGAACATCTGTGCTCAGTGACCTTTCATGGGCTTCATCCATGACAACAACCCTGCAATATTTTCAATCCTGATGATCAGTAACAGTTTTTATAGCACCAAACAATGAAACATAATAAATCTAGAACGGAGAACTTTTCATTATCTTCCATCAGAATTTCCATACCGATACTTGTCTAAATCAGAGTCTTTGAGTGTCTCACGAAGAAGTACCCCATCGGTCATGTACTGCAAAAGTAAACCACAATGCTGAGACTTCAGAGCATATCAGGAATTCATAACCACATATCCATGTAACAAGATAGTAACTACCTTAATAACAGTATTTGGCCCTGTTACATCCTCAAAACGTATTGCATAGCCAACCATATCACCCAACTCTGTGTCCATCTCCTCACTGACTCTCTTAGCAACACTCATAGCTGCCACGCGCCTTGGTTGGGTGCAGCCTACTATACCATTTTTAGTGTAGCCAGCTTCATGCAGATACTGTCCAAAGCAAAATATCAACTTTCAGCAGTTAGTGCGTAAACTAATTTCCAACAAATCTATTTCATCTTTCTTTCACCCCCCCCCCCCTTTCTTGTTTGGAGAGTGGGGTTGTGAAACTAAAGACATAACAAGAAACTAAAGATATAACAAAGCGAACAGAATTGAAGGCCAAACCTGTGTCAATTGTGTTGTCTTTCCAGAGCCTGTTTCTCCCACAACCACCACCACCTGATTCTCTCGAATCACCTATGCATTGTATATCCAACACAAATTATAAGAAAATAAACATGACTGTCTACAAGGTTCAATCAACAAAAGCAAGAGGAAACAACATAATGAAAGCAACTACACTACTGCAATTAATGGAATGTAGCCCGGTTACACATCAAAAAGACAAAAGAAAATATGGGTAAATACCATCTTTGCTCAGAAGTCCACTTACAGGTTAGCAATCAATTTGATAGCCATCAAGTTAAAAAGAAAGATTTTAAAATTTAAAAAAAAAATGAAAAAAAAGAAAAGAAAACCGAAAGGTCAGCTAACCTGTAATAACTCTTCACGCACAGAAAATATGGGTAAATATTGTCTTTGCTCAGCAATGCTTTTCGACTTTGCAAAGTCACTCACAGCTTCTCCCTTCTTCATATGCTGGGCAAACTTGGCATCCTCCTTGAAATCAATTTCACCTTGTTCACCCACCACAGCGGTATCTGCATCAATCTGCAAGAGGAAGTACATTCAAATAAGACCACAGTTTTTTAAAAACATAACAGAAAGCTGAAATACCAATTATGCAAGAAAAATACCTGTTCTGCTGTTTTCTCAACACCCAGGATATCACCAAGTTTTGATCCCGCGAGCTCCCAAAAGCGTTGACGAGACTTATTCATGCTTTGCTTTTCATGGACTTCTCTTACTAGAGCAGATCCTTTGCGAGAAATTATAGCCATGTCAGATGTGGGATCTTTTATGGGCATAATAGGCTCAGCCTGCTTTGTAAAAACAACTCTTCCATCAAGGAAAGGTGGCTTTGTATCTGTTCCCAACAAAAGCAAGATAATCAGATAAAAGGAAAGATAATCATCCACAATTGTTCAAATTAAAATTTGTCAGAAAGTAGTCGTACCATGTACGAGAAGAATAACCTTGCGCTCTTCCTCATCATCAAATTCAGTCTGAACTTCTGTACCTCTAACAGCTCCTGATCTCAGCAGCTGCCGATCCTCCCACTGAGCATTATCAGCTGTGAGCTGAGACAGCTTTTTGGTCTGAGCAAGCGACATCTTAGTCCCATCTCTTCGGACCTGTGTTATATGACCAAGTTAATTTTCAAACAAGAAGCAGCCAACTTGCTCTGAAATAAATTGTTTGACACAACTAAAACTTTGAAATTGTGAATAATAATTCAAATCTAAAACACAAAAGGTATTACATGCAAAAACCACTCATGATAATCACAATCAACACGGGGACATAATTGAACTAAAGTCAAAATAAGTTGATTTGGGTGTATTCGCATTTCGCATTAAATCAATCAAAGGCCAGTTGTTTTTATATTTCTAATAGGACGTTTGGCATCCTGGATAGAGATTTATGATGTTCAATAAATCCTACACAGCTCATTTCATATTTACTGACATATAAAAAATAGCTTAACAAATTTTGATATTTTAAAATGTTTTATATATTTAAAAAAAATCATTTTACAATATATGTGTCAACTTAAAATATTGTCTGTAATATTGCCCCAAAAAATTTGTACATGCTTCTACTTTTTTATACATATTTAAAAATAATTCAACTACGGTTCTTCTTATTCTAGTTTAATCGCTAGTTTAGTCTTTACAACATAGATCTTAAATTATTTGAATAAAAGAAACATGTTAGATCATTATGAGACCAAGAAACTACAAATTGTAAAACTCTTTCATATGCTTTCTAAACTATTTCAAATTAGTTCTCCTTATGGCTTGTAGCAATGACCCATAACAAATACCAGTCTTTTGGCCAGCTCTGCTTCTTTTTTCTGAAAGGAAGCCTCGTCCCCCAGAAAAACTGATGAGTTATCTGCATCAAATGTACTCCCTTCCTCTCTATCGTACCTACATGAGGAGAATCATCTGAATTAGATAAGGTGAAAGGAAGGGAAAGGAAAAAAGAAACCAAAGGGTTTGGTGACTATGCAGTATTATATGAGGTCTGACGTAATTCTCTCCAACAAAGGTTACATGACCACTAAAGTTAAAAATTCATGGGTCAATATTTAGACAAAGCCAATGAAGCAAAATTTAACTACAATTTCCTGAAAGTTATAAAAGTGAAGCTCATAAAAGGAACCACCTCATCATTCAACACATGCTACTATCAAGCATTCAGGTTCTCCTAGCCTACAACTACAACAACAGTAAATTATCCAAATATAGCAGTTTCAGCTTTGAAATTGTATTTAAAAAAAATTGTCTATAACTAATTATTTACCATGCTCGGTCAGCATCATATTCCATCTCTTGACGCATGCTTTCAGAAATCTCATAGTGGCGTTCTTCACCCAAATTGGCATCATCCGCAACTTCATCCTTTACAAATAAAATAGAAATTAATGATACAATTACCGCATGCACAACAATGAAAGTAAACCATAATCATTAAAACATGTTATATCAGTTGTGACAGAAACCAGAAGCGAAAAATACCTCATATGATTTTGAATTTTCTGAAGAAAAAGTTAGGTGATAGGACCGTCCACTATGCCTGGATCCAGAAGATTTGACTGAAGATCCAGAAGCACGTATTGGAAGTGGAGATGGAGATACATGGTCCCAAGGAGAAGATGAAGCAACTGCATTGCATTCAGTGATGAATTAGATTAAAATTAATACAAAAATTGTACCATCAGAATCAACTATATGAAATCCAAAAACAAAAAACTTCAACATTACTAGAAGATTTGAATGATATAACATACAGGATGAATGAGGAGTGTGACCCCCCAACCATGGAGACACTAATCGCGCATCAGGTGAGGCACCAACAAACATGGGGGACGGTGAAGGTTGATGCCGCTGAGAAGAATAAGAGACACTATCCCTTCGTGGAGTCTCTTCCCATTCCCATCTACCATCATCCCAGTCGGACCTTCCTGTATGATTTAAACATTAGACCATTTGAATATTAAACATAATTCATTGGCAATGACGCATGCTTATTCATGATATTTACAAGAATGGGAAAAAAAGAAATGATATATACTTGGCTGAATTCAGAATTTGGATTAAATCAGAACTTCCTCAGGAAAAATAAAATAAAAAAAAAAAGATAACGAAATAAAACAGGGCAGAGCCGTTACACACCTGGTGTTCTCCTGGAACCTTCATATCTGTTTCTCTTTCTACCATATTCATGGTCATATCTGCCACGTGAATCCCTTTCCCTTTCTGAATATCGTTCCCTACTATCATTGTTGCTTCTATGATGTGTGCTTCTACCGTCACTTCTTGAATCATGCTTGAGATGTCTTCTCTCACTTCTATGGTCCTCCCTTTCATACTTAGAAGGTGTAGCAGAACCCTAAACAAGTGGCACATTAATGTTAGGCCCACACCAAAATATTCACAAAAAGAATCCCTCTGGATGAAAAATGCCGATTGGAAATAAATGAAATGTTGTTTCTGGGCAATGAGACACTTAAACCTTTATTTATCACACATATCAACAAAATCATAACAATGTCCCAAAAAAAGTTCTCGAAACACCTTTTTAAGTTCTTCGTGACATATCTTAGTAGACAAAGAAACAAGAACTTACAAGAACCAACACAATATTAAAAATTCTTTTAAAATTTTTCTTAATTTTTGGATCTTTAAGGATGATAATGAGTAGGGCTCACTGTCCAGTACCCAAAATTTCAACTTTGGCCCACTTAGTAAACACACCATAAACAAAGGGCAATAGAAAAGCCCTGAATCTACGTCATAACTTATAAGCAATACATTAAGCATTCTCTCCTACCAAGATTCATATGCTATACATCACATTGCAAAACAAACAAATAACAAATAACTATTAAAAAAGAAGTACATTTGTTTTTCCATCATAAAATGTCAGAAAAAAATGAAGCAGGGATTACCTCCGTGAAAATGGGATAAGTTAAAAAGATTATACACAAAGCAATAAAAACCAGGATACCGTAAATGCTATTGGTTATAACCTTTTAAATTTGAAGACATTAGATTATCAAATCCTTGCCAACCGACAGACATTCGAGTAAAATACAGATAAGACAAGTCACGAATTAAAGTACCATTTATAAACCACAAAATAACAAGATTAACATCATTAAATACTTAAAAACAAAGAGAAGAAACAATAGTATAAACTAGCTTACATCTGAACCCATACGCTCACTTGAACGAGTCCTATGCTGATCTTCAGTCACAGAACTTTCTGCAAAAAATCATAGAAACTCATAATATTATTATTTGCTTGGAGGAAGAAAGATTTGAATGAATTCAGAATTGAAAATAAGAATAATCAAAGAAAGAGGCTATCTGAAGTAGTTCCTTGTAAAATCAGTTAAACACACGCCCAACATTATTAGAATTTGAGCTTGAGTTGAAAAAAATGTAGAGATTTCTTTACAATAAAATCATTAAGCACATTCATACTAGATAAAAGAAAAATGAAATATTAAAATAATATACAGAAATGCGCACACAAACACAAACACATATAAACACCTGGTTGCGAGTTTTCATTGGTCACTTCGCGGTATCTCCTATTAGCATGCTTCTTCGAACTTAGGGATTTTTCTTCATCATCAATAGAAATTCCTGACCCTTCTTCTTCCTCGGCAGATGCTGCCATGGAAGCTATCCTCTCTTTAGGCACCTTGAATCCCGCATCAGTTTGAGACCCTCCTCGCTTTGCAATGGCAAGAACATCCAGTCCTGAACATCGTTTATCTATTAACACCATACAGATACAATATATATATATATATATATATATATCAAAGTAAACTAAATAAAAAAGTATACCTAAGCGAGATTTTCTTTCTTGGGGGATGTAAACGACTTTATCCTTCCCCGGAACATAGAGCCCGCTACCACTGGACTTCTCTGGTTCTAAAGTAACAGTTGTCTTGTCCAGGTCAATTACTCCGGCACCATCTCCTTTCTACTCATAAAGAAGAAGACATAAAAAGAAATCAGTAACTATGAGCACAAATATATAGCATATTTCGATACTTCATTCACAGTATTCCCATTCGATTGTGATTTTCCCTATGAAAAAAGAACATAAAATTGCTATAATATTGATGAATTGAACACCGACCTCCATGAGAAACTATGCAATAGGCAGAGGGGTGGAGTTCGGAAGAACGGCCGCCCGAAGAATTGAGCACGGAGGGAGCGAGGCTGCGTCCGTGCGTCAGCGAGGGAGAGGGAGGAACTGAAACTGATGAATGAGGACTGAGGCGGAGGGAGGAAGGGAGGGAGGGAGGTAGCAGAGGCTGCGAGGACAGAGGCGAGAACGAAAGCTACGAGTCTGCGACCTCCGATGCGATGTAAAAGGAAGGATTTAGAGATTTAGATTTAGGCCCTTTTTCAATCATACCAGTCATCGCATCGCCTCATTAGAAATACCATTTCTTGAGTTTGAAATTTTATGATTTATAAATATTCTATCTTTTTTTTTTTCGGCCAACTATAAATAATTTATCTAATCTATTACACATTTGGTTATTTTTAAAAGTAAGTTAAAATTGGATTTTAAAAATAGTCTGAAAACATGTGTTTCAATTTGGAATATTTTTTAAGAAAGTAGGTAATCGTTATAAATTTTTTTAAAGTAATTTAAGAAAATAAATGATTTTTTCATAAGAAAAAAAAATCTCACATAAACATGTCGTTAATATTCAAATTCAAATTCGATGTTTTGAAGAAAAGAAAAGCTTAGGTCTGATGTTTTTAATTTAAGTAATAGTATTATCAATTTCCAGTTAAATAATTAATCTACTTTAAACAAAATTTAAATTATAATAATATACTATCTGACTAGTAATTTTCATAATTAATATGCGTTAATTTCATTTTATACATTGCCCCACTTTTGAACCGTGAAATTTGAAACTAAACCACAAAATTGGGACTTGTCTGAGTTTTCTCTCAACGATGGTGCAATGGAACTCATTTTAAAATGTGGAGTTCGTGTGTGCAGAATGTGCCTCCTACATTTGGCCCAAAAAAAAAGGAATATGCCTCTTATATAAATTTTGTTTAAATTTGAAATTTATTTTTATTCCAGTTTTTGTTTTATTTTTTTTGATACAAAGTTTTTGTTTTATTATTCTTTCTTCGAACCATGAAAATTTAATTTTAATGTTATTTATTATAAGATTAATCATGTAACTAAAAAATATTCTGTCACTTACAAATTACAATAATTATATCTTGAAATTATCCAAAATAATTATTTTTAGGATCAATTTTAGTTAAATCATTTTTTACCAGATTTTAGTTAAATCAATTTATATTAGATGTGGCGGTTGATTTATATTGGAAAAACAAAGTAACGTGGTTGATAATATATCATTTGGTTTAAATTATCTAGGTATCTTGTCTTTTTTTTTTAAAAGAAAAAAACTATCTAGGTAGATGGCAAAAAAAAATAGTATCTTTTTTTTTTCCTGAAAAAAAAAGTATCTATGTAAACTATCTTCATATTGATACACATTTATTTTATGTTATTTTATTTTATTTAATTATAACAATTTTGAATCGTGCAATTGACCACAAACATTACCCCAATTCAACTTGATTTAGGCCCCGTGCCTTGCACAAAAATCATAATGTTGGGGTATACACATGTTAGAGTTTTCGAGATTATGACATTTCATTTTTTAAGTTGTTCTAATAATAAATAAATTTAGTCGAATGTATGACCCTAAATTTTTTAGAAAAAGTTGTGAAAAAAAATCTTAGAAATAGAAAAATTACCAAAAAAAACTCTATTACAATATTAGTATTGATTTTAATGACAATTTATTAGTAAATGATAAAATTTTGTGAATAGGTCCTTGCATATAATTTTTCAATTCCTAAGATATTTTTTGTGATTTTCTCATTTTTCCTGTCTGTTGATAAATTGAAGGAGATAGAAGCACAATAATAAAATTATTATTTGGAGCACGTAAAATGGTAGGATTTTATGGTATATGATAGATGGATGTATATATTTTTTTATAACATCAATTCAACCTGTAAAAATGAAGTACTCCCCTCTTATCCACAATATAAGTTAATTTAAATGAGATTGTGAGGGAAAAAAAACCTATGAAGAGTTACATTTAGGAAAAGTCGCAATTAAATATCCTAAAATTTGAAAAACACAGATAGAGACCCATAACAACTTCACTATAGCTTTTGACAATAATAATACGTCATGAAGTTATCAAAACCCATTGTAAAGTTGTCACGGATCTCTATCTGCGTTTTTTAAATTTCAAGGACTTTTCTTGGAATTTCCCCTTACATTTAAGTATTAGTTATAGAGATAAAATTAACAAATAAGTAATAATTATTCTCAAAATGACTTATATTTTATACCAAGTCATTTTTCTAGAAGCGACTTACATTATGCATCAGATAAATCGAGTTTTTTCCTCGATACCAAGACTATTGTACTTGGGGGTGCTATTAGATAAATGTGATAATATACCCAACTTGCAAAAAATGATGGGTTTATGTTAGCAAACCAAATGCATGTTTTGATATGAATTGTTTTAACCCACGATGTATTAGGAGTTAATTTTTAGCCCAAAATGAATATAGGCCCGAAATAAATATAGTCTTATTAGAAACTTTTATATGTTTGATTTCTCATTTTCTCTAATAATTTATTATTCTTATATTAATATAATAATTATGTAAAATAGTGATGGCAAAAAAATAATTACATAAGTTTTTATATTTACAAGTTTTTTTGACCAAACTTATATTTACAAGTTTTGAGTTTAGTTTAATTATATGGTTTCATGAAAATATAATAAGAACAACTTAAATTTAGTTTGTTAGATTTTATAATTTAATTTTAAAAATTAAAATGGAATATTAAAAAATGTAATTTTTTTTCAAAAAAAGAGAGGGTTAGCAAGTTAGCTCGCCAAAATGTGGATTTTTTCAACCAGCACCCACCTACTCGTGCGTTTTCTTCCTCTACTATTAGAGAGAGTTAAAGGAGAAAACAAAACTCACTGATAAGAATGAGGGATCTTAGTAATTTTATAGTATATATTATTATAGTTTGTCCTCACATTACTTCCACGCAATACCATGTTTAGTAGTATGAAATTTTTGAAAGCCACACCTCCTCCTTTTATTTGGCCGGGAATTCTTGTGTAAGGGAGGGGGTTGTTTTCCACTCATTGCTTGAATGAGACAATTTTAAAAGGGGAGGAGTTTTTCTTTCTGCCTTGACCTCCCTTCTAAAAGTAAGATTTTTTGGAGTTTTAATAAATAATATAATTCCTCTCTTTTTTTTTATAAAGGATAATTTTATTAAAAACTAAGTAAAACAATACAACAAAAAAGTGTCAACAACTAACATATTAAGAAAAGTAACTGTGCAGCCCAGCAGAACATAAAATAAGTATACATTGTCATAGAGGCAATGGAGTGCAAGAAGCGGAGCGCAAAAAGAGGCCCGGATGCTATAGTGGGTCCACAGTTTAACTAGCTGGTAGAGAACGGCCTGAAGCAAGCCTTTTGTCCTACGCCAACCAACCCAACTCCATACATGATCACATGAAGGCTTCAACATTTTTGGGAAGAGTCTCTATGAACGCACCCATAAAGCTGTTCCCATAAGTTAACACCTCCACGAGACACGAGTACAACCCATGATCTCATTACGTCTACACCATTTGAGATGTTGAAAAGGAGGTTGATGTTGATGCCAAATCCAACAACAATAAAGCCAAGTATAAGATGATCATGAAGTGGCAACAATGTTGATGAAAGAGGCTGGCAATAATATGGGAATACAAGAGAAAAGGCCAACAAAGATCTTTCAAAGCAGACCAACCCAAGCACCCAAACATAAAAGCTGGCAGACTGAAGGCTAAAAACAAACACAGCAAAACCATAGATGCGTAGCCTGAGAGAAATATCATCAAGCAAGGCACTACCCCTTCCTTGCTTGATGATGAATGGTATGGTCATGGTGTTACAATTCGAGCCTTTTTGGCATAAAGATCGAAGAAACCCAGCAAACCTTCCCTATTAACAACTTGAGAAACTATTCCAGTACTGGTTTCATTCTCAATACCGTATGCACCTGCTTTACGTTTGTGTTGTTCCTGTTCTCGACGTAACCTTTGATTCTTCTTCGCAATAGCCCCCAAAGTAAGAGCTTTGGTGAGAAGCAATAACTCATTCAAGTTTTATAACATGCGTAGTATTAATATATCGTCTACATCTCTCTTGCGCCTTCTTTATTCTTTCTTCCTCAAGTCTTCTCCATTCTCTTTCACATCTGTGGCACCCACTACCAGTTCTAAGTGTGTGTTTGGATGGAACTAAAAAAGTGTTTTTTTTTTTTAAAAGCTAAACCATGATTTGTTTACAAAGCAGCCCACTCTACTTTACAAGTTTTGTTTGGATTAACTTTTAGAAAATAAATTTTGAAAAAAGTAATTTTGTGAAAAAATATGTTAATAATTGAAAATATTTAGATAGTTGTTATCATAATCATTTTTTTATGCATAAATTACTAAAAATTATACATGTTAAAACGATAATTACATAAAGTAGAAACTTTAATGTATATATATTTTTGTCATGTAATTAATTAATTAATAAATGGTACTTCTCCGGTCCTTAATTGGAAGAGTTGATGTTAGTCTTATATATAAATCCTATTTCGTATATTTATCAATTTCTTTTCAAAATTAACTTTATTGGTATTTCTTTAACAATAATCAAGTAGGACAGGAAGATATTTAGGATATTTAAAAAAAAAAAGTATCATATTAACTAATTTAACTAACATCATTAATTTACTCAAATTAGTTAATTAGGTCTTATATTAAGAACTGAAAAAGTATATACATAAGAGTACTTTATTATTCATATAATTATTTTATTATTTTATATATAGTTCTCTGCTATATGAAGACGATAGAAGACAACTGCAAAAGATGAGGGTAGTTTTGGGCCTCTGCTCTCTGACGAGTAATTATGAACTCAACAACCCAAAAACATGAGCCAGAAGATGGACCGGACTGATTCCTTTATAACGGGTTTTGGGCCTGATGAGTGATTCTGGGTGGGCCAGGTCCCTTCCCTTGAATTTGATTTTGATAAGTGGGATAGAACTTAATTATTGGAAGTCTTTTGACTGGGTGAAAATGAATGCAAGCGGAGCAGTTTCAGCATCAAGAAACAGAGCTGGGTGTGGATGAGTAATTAGAGATCATGGGAGATAGTGGATCGTGGCATTCTATCAAATGATTGGGCACTGTAGTGTGCTAGAAG